GTACATGTACAAGGATGGTACCGGGTATGCAAAAAAACAAATTGGTTCTTTTCAGGGAGTGGCAACTGTTCAAATAATGAAAGCTTCAGGAATGCTACTAGAGTCCAGCTCTGAAGCAACCACAATCTGTCTGGAGTGCTTCCCACCTCCCCCTCCCACCCACGAGATGTCGGTGACGTCCGTTTGCTGAGCAGTACAGTACAGGCACATGCCCACTGGCATGTTTAGACTGTGAAAACCTCTTCAGGATTCACTGGAGATCAATAAGGCACCGTGACTGTGCCTGGTAAGAGCGCATAGCTGAAGAGCTTATCTCAAGTGCAAGCATCCAGTATGGATGTCAAGTTCATACATGTACATACATGGATTGAATTCATTCCTCACCTCTTCAAAATGTAGCCTGGTACCATAAAGTCTTAAAATATTTGGTTTGAACCCGGAGGCACACTAATGCTACTGTACACGTGCACACCGGTACTTACATGTACCGGTACATATACATGTGCATGTACATGTACTGTACATGTACAGGTACACTGAAGATTGATACTACCGGTAGTTGGACAAGTTGTACATGGCATAATACACATACATACCGGTTCTGTACATGTGCATGTACTGTACATAATAAGTACAGGTACACAGATCATGTATAGACATGTGCATGTACACCTGTACATGTCTAGACATGTGCATGTATAGACATGTGCATATACATGTATAGACATGTGCATGTATAGACATGTGCATGTACATGTATAGACATGTACATGTACATGTTTATACATGTGCATGTACATGTACATGTCTATACATGTGCATGTACATGTACATGTATAGACATGTGCATATACATGTACATGTACATGTATAGACATGTACATGTACTGGTACAACTGCAAAATGATCAACTTTGAAGATTTATTTAACAATAAGGTACAAGTACGGATACTCTCTTTACATGTACTTTTGAGTATTATTTTAGAAGGATGCTACCCAGTACATGTACAACTTTCCTGATGATTATTAATAACATGAAATAGCAGTCAACACAGATAGGCCTATATGTACATGTACATGTACATTCGAAATTTCTGTACTCTGAACTCATTCCTACATGTATGGTTTAGTTCTTTTGGGAGGCATTACCCTGTACTTCAAGACCTCTTTCATGGAGCAGCCACCTTGCTTTTCTATAATTCAAAGCAATGTAACCAAACTGAGGCTGGAAGGACAAACAGTATTTGTTCCCTTTTATCGATATGCAAAGTTGTATCACATTGCCAATGGGTCTACAGGGAAGACAAAGATAGCAGCATCTTGATAAAGGTCTATGGGTTGCTCAAGACAGACACATGAAAATATAATTATAAATGCTCGTTACAGGTAACAAATGTGAATAAATACACTGTACACCATGTACATGTATGCGTATGATATGTGTACACCATGTACACCATGTGCATGTACGTGAATGTGTACCGGTGTACCAGTATACCGGTATTGCACAAATTTTTACACACACAAAGTACAGGTACAACTGACTTTTGTGTAATTCACACTTTACAGTAAATGTACATGACCATAAATTTTTATAACCATCCATATGCATAAGCATGTACAGTATACAGGGTTGTTTAGCTTCTCTATTTGTAGACTTCAAATTTGATGCAAGGTACCAGTACCATCCATAGAAACAAATTTTCATGCATTATGCAGTGGAAAATACCGGTACATGAAAAATTGATACATGTAGATGTACACGTGAAAAGTAGTTTCAAAAAATCATGCACGTGCGGTTCGTGTACATGTACATATGTTGAGCTCAGTAACTCTTACGCAGCCTGCAAGCACTACAATACAGGACATGTACAACATTTAACATACACATAGAAACTCTTGAAATGGTAACTTTCAAGACAAATTTGCTCGAAGGGTGTCTACATTTCAGGTTTATAAAAATACAAACCTCCAACACGAACCTTCATGCCTCAACTTCATTTTCAATTTTTGTTTCACTATTTAAAAGGGAGTTTGCTGCCTTTTTGGTTTTCAAGCTTTTCAGTATTTCCACATTCATAAGCAAAACTGAGATGTCATCCCAGGAAGAAATCTCAATGTTACATGTACATTAGTTTGTGCACAAAAAACTGCTGACTCATTAAATTTTAATAGCCTAAATTTCTTCTTTGACAGTTCATTGTTGTGTGAGTACAAAGCAATCAACAAACAAAAAACTCAATCTCAGAAGTGCTTTCTGCGAGTAAGTTCTGGTTTCACAATTTAATTTGATTAACCCTAACCATGCTGACCCCAATAAGGTTATGAAAGATTTCAATGGTCCCTAGGGGGTTGATACTACATGTACATGTACTACATGTACATACCTGTGTCTTGTATACATGTAACATGGGGCACAGGTAACGGTACTAGTACCTGAGTGCAGTGCGTGTACATAGAGAATACTGCGGTCAAACTACATGTACTACATGTAGTACCCGTATGTAGTACATGTACCTGTCTCTTTTATATATGTGGTAATAAAATGCACAGGTAACGGTACTAGTACCTGAGTGCAGTACATGTACATAGAGAATACTGTGGTCATACTACATGTACCGTAAATGTAGTACCTGTGTCTTTTAAACATGTAGCAATAAAAGGCACAGGTACCGGTACTAGTACCCGAGTACAGTACATGTACGTGTATACTACACAAATACATGTACCAGTACAATACAAAATCTGACAAAATGTAATCTGACAAAATGTGCCCAAGGTTGAAACTTTTGAGTCTTTTTTTGACCTTCACCTTGAACCTACATCTTCTAAAAAAAAATTACATTACCTGAATTCAAGCAATGTGGATTTCCAGCACTGAATCATCTGCCTATCTGCCCATCTGCTGTGATGTTTGTCCCACGGCGGCACGTATCGATTTTATTCACACACCTACACATAATGACTTGAAGGTTCATGAAGCAAACTTTTCATCTTCTCAGGAAATTTTTGTTCACTTTCCATCGGTGAAATAAACAAACTTCTATTCTGCTGTACAAAATCATAAACAATTGTAACTGTAAGCACGCAGGCAGCAAGAGCGAGAGAAAACTAGACATGCGAACCAGCCCGGATTTACGTTTATATTGCCAGGTACACTTTGCAAATGCTTGTCTCTTATACTGCATCTTATATTATGAACTTACCGGTATGATGGGCACTCACAAGCATTTTACTTTATACATGTACATGTACGGCAAGGAAGAAAATTTATGGAATTTTTGCAACAACGTGGAATGTATACATTTCATCTTGCTGAATGCCAGAAATGCATTGTAGCAAAACTGTAATTAAAACATCAAGCATGTGGATGCAACATATCCATACACAGTACACACATTGTTCATGTACATGTACACGTACACATGTGCCTCTGGCATTTTGAAATCTGGAATCTTAAAAATGTGCCGTCTGCATGAGTCCCGTAATGTGTAAGTAATTTGGGGGTACTGCTCCTAAATTTGGAAATACACATAAAAAATACCGGCACAAAAATGAAGAGTTGACAGCTTGAACTGTTCACTTTTCAATCCTCAGTATGCCGGTGTAACATACTGTTACATGTACGTGCACACGTACATGTACATATACAAGTCCATGTGTACCAAATCCTGGCCGATATGAACGACAAGCCAGGATGTAATTTTATGATAAATCCCTGTATTATATAAGGCCAGGATTTATTATGTACATGTATGCGATGGATCTGATGCACAGCTGCACAATTTTCTTGAGATTGATATCACCACACATGCAGTCAGTGGCGCAGCTGAACTTCTTTAATTTTAGTGTGAACTAAACATAAACATCGGGTAATGAACACCGTTGCTGTTAAAGTGCTTGTATTAAACCAAATTACATGTGAACTGCAAAAAGAATTACAACAAAGATGACCCGAAAGTACATGTACATGTACATGCATGTACATGTACTGTTACATGTAGGCGGACATACATGTACATGTACCGTACATGTACAGTACACCTGCAGGTGCCTATGGTTGAGAATTTACTGGTACCTGCATCTTGTAAGATGATTACAGTGTACGGTACATGTACATACATGTACATGTACGTACATCATTGTCCACTTACATGCACATGTACAGGGACTGATAGAGATTGCTCTTTATCTTTGTAATCACATCAACACCTGTGCTATGGATCAAAATACCTTAAACCCCCAAAAATGAGAACAATCATAAACATCTGTGTTCTAAAGAGAATGCATACTAGTACATGTGACACACATTCATGGTGTATTCACATACATACATTGTACATGTACAAGTACATGTACAAGTACATGTACCGGTACATGTGGACCTGTATTGGCAGGTTCCTCCAAATATGGACCATTAGACAATGTTCAACTTTGGGGGTTCATATTTCCTGAAGTGAACAGCAGTGAATTACATGTAATTCCCAATGTCTCATGAAATGAGGGAAATCATGGCTGATATCTGGAACAATGATTACTGTGTCCATCATCTTTCATCTTAATCAGAGTTGATTGATTAAAATCTCGAACGTCAGCATTTTTGAAGGACGTGAACAACCTGTTGAAATCCTAGCCAAAAGTTGCCAGGAAGTGATAATCCCGGCGGTTATTTCAAACAGATTAATATGTGGTGAGAGGTGATAATTTTCACACATATTAAAACCATAGGCACAAATTTAAAAATACATGTACTTCTCACAACTAATCGGGTCCCAAGGTTGGCAGTTGCGAACCTCATTCGATTCTGTCAAAAAAATCGACTGCAAAAAACAATGAGTAAAATCAAAATCGATGTACAACACATGAACACAAGCTTTAAAAAAGCACCCCCAAACATGCCAAATAGCAACCCCGAACCATTATCCTTTTATGACTGGACCGATCACATTTTCTTCAAACATTTCTGAAAACCGCAGTCCAAAATACCGATCATGGTGATTTTGCGGCTTCTGTCATTATCTCACAGAGACGTTAGAGAAACGTTTTGCTGCATCATGGGCTGTTTGACCTTTGACGTCAACCCAGATAGGGCGCCCTCCTTTTCATTCGATATTCTTGAGCCCCTCCACGGAATGGTGACGCTCCAAGATTTTTCTCTTCATACCAAGGTTTCTGAAAGAAAATCTGTCATACTGAATGATGTTGACCATGTTGACGTAAAACTTGAAATGAATTTAACTCCATCTGATTTTCACTGGAAGCCAGACAAATGTCCACCAACAGTAAACAGTATGCTTAATTATCCCCAAATATTCACTTTTATAAATCTGAAGGTGCTAATTTGTATTTTACAAAATCAGAGTCACTCTTTTAGAAATTTTGAAAAATGACATGCGGAGTTGCATTTTGGTCCATTTTATGAAGAACATGCCACATGAAAAATACATGTACAGTATGTACATGTAGTTCCATAGAAATTTGAAAAATAATCACTTTGAACAATAGGTGTACACATATAGATGTACACTGTATGTACAGTATTTAACTGATTAAACCAAACATGTCATACATGTACATGTATACGTACCAGTACATGTACATGTATATTAAGCATACTACCGGTACATACATGTACATGTACAGTACACATCAATGGAAAACTTTCAATATTACACATGTATAAAATATGAACACTATACCCATGTATGTACAAGATCCCAAAATCACACTGCTCAGTGGAAACAAGACAATAAAAATACCAATAAATTACTAGTAATACAGTGCCGTACATTTTCAATTTACTTACACTGTAAAAAGGCACTACAGTCCACAACGCTGATAGTACCGGTAGGCTGTTCGCACACTATGTGTAGCTAACATCATTATACCATCTATGCCCCACAGCTTCTCTCGACCCATTTCAAAGTCATTCTATCCTAATCAAATATACATCGGTCTGTTCAGTGGCCATGTGAATCTGCATTTGTGTATGGTGGCCCATTTCTACATGTAAATGCTATCTTGATTCCCAAAGAGCAACGTTTGTTTTTGTTTCTTAAGTTTGCTGAGATTTGGAAATTTGGTATGGACGGTACAACTGTACAAGACACTCAAAACCCTCTCATGTACAGTACATGTATATGTAAAATTTAAAACTGTACTGCAATTAGGGCAAAGTGCAACAATTTCATTTAATAAAAAAGACAGGCAAAGTTGAAGAGGTGAGGTTACATTATTTTTACATGCTGTTATTTTTGCTTTCAGCCAATATGAACAAACTGGTTTATGCATAAAATGTTTGTTCACTATTCTCTCAGGTGCATGTTCATGTTCATGTACATGTACTTGAACATACCAGTACATGTACTGTACATGTGCAGTGTACACGTCCATGTACATGTACACTGTACATGTTTGAGTACAATTTACTGTACTGGTACATGTATTTTTTAATCAAGGTGTCTGTCCTGCTTGAGTGCATGAGTCCAAATGAGGTGGTAATATATCACGTACCGGGAGCAGAAACACCATCACCCAAAGTTCTGCATGCCATTGGACTGAAGATGGGAGCAACGATGCACCGGTACACAGCATGCAAGTTCCTTAATCATGTGACTGGGTCACTTTACTGCTCCTTTGACAGTTCTTACAGTACTTTGGCAGGGAACCTGCTAGACTACCTGTACATGTTCGGCATTACGGTACATGTACGTGTTCCGTGCCTTACAAGTATCGGTACTGTACACCCTTCTGACTTACATGTACATGTAAATACCATAAACACTCAAGACACTGATCTTTTTAAAAAAATATATGTATTGGCATTTTACACGTGTATCATTGTGTAGCATTTGTATACCAATACAGTACATGTACACGTACTTCTCTAACTGCTGGTATTACTAGTATTGAGTTAGTTGCCCTCACACTGAGATTGCGCACATGTACATGTACATGAACCTGGAGGCCTGACAGGTGCTGTTGATATTTTGAGAGCTGTATTGATACATGTATGTTGGTTGGACAATTTGCCCGAGCATCCTTGATTTTGTTCGGACAAACACAATAAGTGCTCAGAAAATGTACAATGTCCGAGCGTAATTTCACCCTCTGTAAAGTATGTACATTATGTGTGTCTCAAACCTAAGAAGAAAAGTGGACAGGTTCCAATAGGCCATTATACAGGTACATGTACATGTACATGTACCAGTACATGTTACAAAATCTAAGACAATCCCATGAGACATTAGGTTTGTGTGGGTATTAGTGATTAGCACTGGAGGAACCAGCCTCTGCTTGTTTCAACATTACTTTTTTGTCCCTAAAACCAAGAATTTTCCACAATTTCACTGTCTGTTGACAAGGCTGCAACACGCAGTTTAATTTTCAGCCCTATCATAACATTACTACATGTACATGTACAGGTATACATGTACATACCGTACTGTACATGTACATGTACACTGTACATATAAATTAAACATGTGCACATGTACAACAGTTTTCCAATATCAGTCAGTGTCAGTGCACGTCTTCTCAAGTCACTCTCATCTACAGTCAACAGCACTGTCATCATCAAAAGTTTTTTCCTTAAGCACAACTCCTGTACTCTCATAAATATTTACCGGTAATTAATGCCAGTAGAAATCACCCACATGTACACGTAAACAGTATGCATACATGTACATGTATCTTCATGTACACTATCACAATCACTGACCATCAAATTCACCAGAGTGCTACATGAACATGTATAACCACCTTTACCACTCCCTTCATCACCACTTCTGGTCAACATCACCACCATCCTCATCATTTCTCTTTTTCATCAGAAACAGACCATCAACACCATACCAACAGAAAATGAGAAATCGCAATCTCCAATCTCAATGCACAGAAACACCAAACATCTTTTCCTTTATGTATCAATGCATGTACCTATCGGATGAACAGGGACACAAATTTAAATATGCAAGAGTTTCCTTTCATTGTTCATCAGGGGGTATGAATGAATACCGTACATGTACCTGTAGGTCATACCCCCTTATGAAATGAGATTAAATAAATGCAGATAAATACATGTATACAGTGCGACACATCATGCTCATTAGCAGTACGTACGTCACCTCAGTCTCTCTGCAAATATTCTACGAATTGGATTCAAACACTGGATTTATTATTTTTTTTCTCCCTTTGCAAGAGACACATGCCCACAGTAAGCTGACCTTATTCATCACCAATAATATCGTGACACCAACTCCCGGAGGCAGACGTGCAGGCTCGTGAGTAGAGAAAATGCACCCAATGGAATATCCACCCCTCACCGATGACACGCATCACGCATAGACAGCATTCTGGCTGACTCATGGATTAGAAAGCTCATTAGCATTCTGGCAACCAGACCCAGTGGACTACGCAATATTGATGCTAAAGCAGACTCTCAGATGTACAGTAGCAGTTGTTAAGTCCCAGGGGAGCTGAATTCTTTAAAAGTCAATTAATCCTTGATTACATGTGTGTTCAACTCTTATTGACTTCACTCTGGCTTGATTTTTAGATACTATACATTCATACCAAACAAGCAAATTTGGCATTTTATGTTAGACCTCTATAAAAACTTACAATGCACATGTACATACATGTACATATACAAATGTAAGGATACTGAATAACTTTCATTTAATAACTCATTAATGTATTTGTAAACACATGTACACGTGTGTACACGTTAAACGCATTTTTGGTCAGTTTTTCCTTGCTCATCAACACAGCTGAATTACAGACTACTCGTACCACATGACACACAGAGGCACAGTTTTTAAAATTCAATTTCCATACAGTAATTAACTACATGTACATGTACACGTATACACGCAAGTTGGCATACACCTACAGGGTGTACTCAAGAAGCAATTTATATGTAGACCAGCAATGGCACAAATGTATGTACATGTACCATACTGGTACGGTACAAGCAGTTGTGGGGACTAGTACACACAAGATAGACGATAGGTGTGAGTACCCAATTTGATACTGGGGCAACTGGTCGTCCAAACAACTCAGTCCAAAACTTCCTAACCCCCCAAAATATTGTTCCCTCAACCCAGGGCAGGCCAGGACACAGGTACATGTACATGAACATGTGCATGATGCTGTGAACATTTATCCTGGTACACTACATAGGCCATGATATACATGTACGTGTGCACGTACAATGTACCACTGCTTGTAAAAATGTACATGTACATGTACGTGTACTACTGTCACTACTACAGTACATGTACATGTAGTTTTGTATAATACATGTACAAGTACTGTAGGCCTACATGTATGTACTGGTATGTACATGTACTAGTGTACCTGTACATGTACGGTACATGAACCGGTACAAATACATGTACCATTGAATGCAAGAAGGAACCATTTAATAACATACATGTACACATGTTCATGAGTATGAATCTACCGTTACATGAACATGTATGTACATGTACATGTCCGCTAGTTTGGCAGACTAGCAGTACTTACTACAGTGTCCCTCAAATCCTGCAAATTCAACTGCATGTGCTTACGTACTACCGGGGTACAAAAACAGCAGCTGGTACACTGTACTATATGTACATGTACATGTATGTGCGTGTCTGTGCTTGAAGTGACCTAAGTTCTGTACATCATTGAATACGAGTTTGACAGATTCAGATTTGCATACTCTTTGATTCAGCATACACGTACATGTACATCAAATTACACATGTTCTGATAAATGACCTTGCCTACCCTATTCTGATCTTGTAGGAAGATGATTGTTGATACTGTATCTGAACGCTCAGCTCTTTCTGAAGACAGCTTTTAATATTCCCATCTGGCATTCTGACTATTGCAAATTCAGTTCTTATGGCAAACTCAAAATCTAATCAAGTGCAACTCCCTTGTGAGTGGCCTACATGTACTGTATGTGCATGTACATGTACGTGCACATCTAGTGAGCACAGTAACTGTGAGTAATGGTAATGTACATGCACATACACATGTACATGTACTGTACCTGTACACGTACAGCACATGTGCCAAGTTCAATCCATGCATACATGTACAATGTACATGTACATGTATGTACATATATGTATGTACATGTACATGTACCGGTATGTAAATGGTACTGCTACATGTATGTGTAGAATCTACATGTACGGCAATGCAATCAATGCAATGAAGGGAAAGTTATTCTTATTTTCCTACAGCTGACAGGTTGTTCAATTAGCAGCAGGTTCATTCTGAATCTGGACGAATCTCATCATTGAACATACCGGTACATGTACAGCATACCGGTACAATGATGCATGGCAACTTCTTGTGCATTTTAGTCATGTACAAGAACAAAATGTAAGTAGAAATCAATTTGGGCTGCCAGGGACATGTGTCTGTTTGCTGTACTTGTACTTTCTTGGAAACAAACATTTGCCCTTAGGAAAGGTTCTGTGAGGCATACATGTACCGTAGATCAAAATGCCAATCAGATGCTTGCAACTTTAAAATCACGTTCAATTCTTAAAACACGCGGCACATGTTTGTGGGTGTGTATTTTATTTTTATCTTGAACATGTTACATTAAAACCGTGACCCACTCAATATCTAATTTTAATCAATTACATAAATATGTACTACTACTGGGATATAATGTATAGATTGACAGGCCAAAGAGTGCACTTTTTAAAGATGCTAATAGACCAGATTAGGGTCCTAGAGTGCATTCAATTTTAGCAAATGATACTCAAACGCTAAAACACATACCGGTACAAACTTTTTCCCCACATTCAATCACTTCATCACAATTATTTTTAACCGTGCAGCCACAACACACACTGAAGGAAAATCCAAATAACACTCCATGCAATGGAGTAAACCCAACAGTAGCCACTGTCCAAATACTACATGTACGTTGACTAAATCAGCTTCCTGAACCAATAGTTTCAGTTGTGATTCTGACAAAGAAACTTGGAGGACAAACAGTCCCAATTTCAGGCTTCCAAGAATTTGATTGGCTACTTCCATACCTGTACATTGTTCACATAATGTTAATGCACATACCTACATTTGCCAAAAAAGTGACAAATTTGTGACAGCTACCCAGTACAATAAACGCACCGTAAGTAAATGTGACGACATCTGCCAAATTACTTGACTGAAAGCAGTTACGCCTTTTCATGCAACAATATAACAAAAACTGGTACCATACCTCAGAGGTTTGATGAGCTTTTTCTGCAGCGCAGAGCAGTCTCAAGCAGTGAAAGATTGCATCTTGCAAGCAACTGATGACAAGCAAAGCATGCACATGCATCAAAAGAGGGGGGAAGAACAGAACAGAAAGGTGATCAAAATGGAAGACTCAGGATAAAGAAAGCAGCAGGAGCAAGGCATGCCCTGTGCAATTAAAGAAAAGATGTGTTATAGTTCTGTATGAATGTGCTGTCTTAACATAATAAAAGAAATTCAAATACATGTACAAGGGCCTGCATGTACATGAACAAAAAAAACTGTGTTTGTAAAACAAGGGAAACCCTCCACCACGAGGGGTAACTAGACAACTCAGTTATCATTATTCAATTGAACAAAGAACACCAATTTAGTGAAATGAAGGAACAAATTCCACCTTCTCAAGGTACAGTTATGCTCATGATTGGATCCTTTTCGATTTCTCCCCTATATGACTGAACACAAGGATATGTACATGTACATACTACTTCTCCACAATCAAAATAGTTCTCACTGTTATACATGTACATGTAAGAGTGCACGCATTCAGACAGTAATGAAGTTATGTACTACGCATGCATGCACTTGTCAGCCTCATTACTTCAAGTTGTTTGTCTTCCATGTTGCAATCACTGAGCGAAAGCTCGTTAGTCTGGGAAGAAAAATATACAAAGGGCAAAATTTTTCTTTCTAAGCACTAGCAGAATGCACAAGCTCCAAGCAGGCATTTGAATGTACTGGTAATTACCTGGGGTGGGTTTACATGTATGTCAATCTCGATAGAGGTGCAATGTACCTTTGATGTACATGTAAAGGACTGATTAAATTGTCTTGAAGTTTACTTGGGAACATACATGTACAAATACATTGGACATTTTGGTTCAATTATTTGCTACTATTTATTAAAATTGAAAACTCTTAGTATTAGACAGCCATTTGGGGTTAATCTTATGAGTCCTGAGCTGGACCAAGAGAGGGTGCAATTTTCCTAGCAACGAAGGCTCCTTTGGTAAGAGCTGCACTGGCTCACAGATGAATGCCCACGTTGTGGGCACCACTACCACAAAACTTTCACCAGCCTGAAGTCCTTTCGCCAGAGAAGGTGCACTTCAACTCAGGGCGGATAAGGTTTTTCTAAGTGTAAACCCCTAATTTTTTCCTTATGATTAACTTTTGGGAAAATGTTGCTCACTTCATGTACACGCACTTATACATGTACAAATTTACATTTGTTATGAACTGAAACAAGGAATCACCAAAGGAAAGTTATAAAAAACTGCAAAACATCCAAAACTCTGGCAGTAATGCTGAAATAATTATACTGAGGTTTCTTCTTGACATGACATCATAAATCCACAAGTGAGCTACATGTACTATAAAGTTAAGAGTTCCACACAGGGACATCATTAATTTTTCCCTACAAGTGGTGTATACATAATAATAAGTAATAACAAAAGCCATAAGATATATCCTAAAAAGTCAAACAGTAGGGAAAATGTTGAAGCATTTACTTCCAAAACACTCAGAATTGTTCAGACCAGTCTCATACCGGTACATGTACATGTATAGTTTGTGTATGGGTTGTCAGGTGATGTCTGTGTATGGAACTCTCTCCCTGATATTTCTGAGTTGTTTGAGGATGGTATGCTGGTCTGACTTTTTCTGATTTTTCCCCTCTATCCCGACCTGGCTCTAGTGCCTTTCAAGAGCGATATTTTAAATCAAATTTCATCATACCCATATATGAAATTTTACCAATCTCCCAATATTTTGATTTAAAAATCTCAATGTAACTCACCTGCTACAAAGTTTTGACGAAATTTTATTATGGCTCGATGTTCTGAATTTTTTTGTTTTGAGGTGCCAAATGAACTCTTTTAAAATATGCTCAAATTATGAAAATACTTTTTTAACAAACTTATGGTTAGGTACGTACACATATGCTGTAAGTGGGGGTAATACTAATTTCTTAGCATTTATAAACTTTGAAGAACTTCATAAATGTATTGCTGGATTCTCTCAGATTTTCTCAAGTCTGCCACATCATTAGGGAACACTCAGCTGGTGGATGCCGCCATTTTTCAATTTCAGACAAACTCCCTGGCATTGAAATTGTTCACAAAGGTTCAACTGCATGTATTATGAAGGTTACAGTATCATAAGTTTTTTCCAGAGAAGTTTGGCAAATTGGCAACACTGTGTGGAAAAAAAAGTCAAGTGGGACCGCCACGGAAATAAATCTTATTCTAATCGCTTCTCCCAATGCAAATTGACTGGGTTTTCTTTATGTCAGCTCTAAGTGAAGCGAATATCGATCCCGTCCAGAATCGTAAAAGAGGAATACATGTACTAACGCTCCACTTGGTAGAGCTAGTGTTCCACCTTTGTTTGTATCTGCATGTCTTTGTAATGTGGAAAGGCGAATAAATCAAAAAGTCGAAGTGCGCCACGTTAGCATGGTTTGAAGACTCTAGGCCTACATGTACTCCAGGCTGGTAGGCCGCACATGACGTGCATGATGTACACGTACATTACAAATGGATGGTTACGGGTTGGTTGACGTGTAACGCCGTATACAAACAAGTAAAGCATCCAGTTCGTAGGCCTACCCCTAAACTTTAGTAGGCCTACGCCTACATCATACTACAGTCATGACAGTAGGACGTCAAATAAATTACCTGTTCTGGTGACGATCTTGAAGAATATCAATGTACATGTAGTTGAAACCCCTGTGTTGGTATGAATCCAATTTCGATGAAATCTAATCTAATTACATCAATTCTGCCATAAGCGGGCGACGTTAAAATTTTGCGATGAGACGGGCATCATGACACAGTGGGAGTGGAGAAAAAGACATGCGTGCGGTATACGTGCAGTTGTGAAAAGAGCCCATTCGCGAACCAGAATAGTAGCCTTACCCGATTTGGAATGTACCCAATTAAGTTTGGAGAAAAAAATCGGCCCAAAAAGTCTCGGAACCCCTTTTTGTCTTCTTCTGATGCGCCAGCTTCATCACTTGAAAACTGTGCTCAGGCACATTGGTGGATACGCAGTTCGTGGATAGAGTGTACCTGTACATGGAGTGTAAAGCCTAGTGGTTAACACTAGAGACCTGTTAACTAGAATTTTTTTAAACTTGCAAATGAATTGTGAGACAGTATGAGCTAGTATACATGGGAAAACCAGCCCTGTATGTTGCCGCTTTTTACAGGCAGCATGACAACATCAACTCCATCGACCTTGAATGCATCAAAGAGCTTGATTCAGCCACTTTCAAAATCCCAGAGAACTCACAAAATCATCCGATTGCTGGTGATTTTAATGTCCCGGATGTGAACTGGGAAAAAGTCTACTTTCGTCGAAGCGGTAGATGCCATCTTGGAGGAAAGAATAGCCTTCCTCCATGATACCATGCACTTAACAAACAGGTGGTTGAACTAGTTCAAGACCACAACCTCCACCACATAAACCAACCATAGAAGACAGTATTTTGGACTTAGTGTTCACAAATGCCCCTGTACTTGTACAAAATGTAGATATTATCTCAGGGATATCGAACCACTATATCTTGTCAGTCAATTTTCTCTCAGAAAATTAAGCAGCCACTCTGGAAGATATTTGTGTACAAAAAGACAATTTTGATAAGATCAGTAAGGAAATGACTAAGTATGCTGATACCACAAGAATAGATAAGAGTCCATCAAATATTATGATTACACAAAAATAATATTGAAATCAAAATGATAAACTTCCATTTCTTACAGTGAAGAAAAAGGGTTGAGTTTTCATTGCAATCCTTTAGTCAGTGTTATTTTGATTTGTTAGAGTCGGGACTTTGAATTTAGAATTTACATCTGCAAAGATAAACTTAGTTTAAAGAAAACAAAAATTAAGAAATTGTTTTGGAAACGCCGAATAAGGTGTCAGGTTTCCCAGTATGTACAAAATCTTTTAGGTTTTGATTTTAAAACAAATGAAGTCCTACAGATGACATCACAGACACAAATCTCATCAAGTGAAGTTTCAGGGTATTTTCTGTAAAAGGGACCGTTTAGAGGATCATTTCTCACAATTGTAAAAAGGAAATTATTAAATGCAACGACCCCGTCGAACATCTTAAAATTAAACAAGATTGCAGGATCATTGTATAGTTAGCCCTTTGTCAGAACCCGTCCCCTAAGATGCTTCCAAAAGCTTACGGCTACGGCTCAGTTTTTACCGGGAACACGCTGAAACTAACATCTGTAGCCGGCCGAAGCCCAATAAGATGTTTGCTTTCGCGATTCGACGTGGGGCCTTGCAACGCTGTCTTAAAGCGCCCCCTCTGCAGTTTTAACTTTTAGTGATTGCCTGATCAAGTGATGGGACCATTCGTAAATGGAAATCATTCTTAATTTGGCTACTACCCATTGACGTCGACCGGCACTGCTGAATCATTAATTTTAGTCAGTCAGCTCAATGACGATCAAAATAGTAACATTTATTATGATTTTTGGTTTATACCAAAAGAACTTTTTTGGGTCACCCAATGATAATTGATTTCTGGTGTTTGTATGTGTTTGTGTCCTCCGGAAATACAACAGCGGGTCTAGTCTGTCTCCGCCGGTGTCCACGTAAATGTAATTCCAAATGTGCAGTGTAGACGTGGAACCTGTAAACCTGGCTGTGGCACCAACTGACCTCTGAGTCATCCACCCTCTGTGTAGATCTTCCTCAAACGTGGCATTGGTGAACAGTACGGTGTTAAATCACAGCCGAACTGAGAGGCATAGCCATGATAGTGTAACTTCGGACTTTCAGCGCTAAGATCAGAAGCAAACGACTGTCTTCCAACGACAAGAATGGGTCTTTGTAAATGCCCAAAAAGAAAAGTCACCAACTTATTTTGTTTTGAGCACCGTGTGAACGTCTGCGAGCACTGTTTAGTTGCGAATCATCCAAAGGTACAGTGTGTCTAGTACATGTACATGTACAGTGTACACGTACTGTACAATGACGTAGGCCTGCATGTAATTTCTTCCAGTTCCACATTCATTTTCATGTCGTTAAATTAAAATGAAATTAGCCTAATCATGGGTTATAAAAATTGGAAGAGTTCTCATCAGTCTTATAACAATTAGGAGTAAAGAAATCACAAGATTTCTTGCTCAAATAGATTTTTGCGTCAAGCACATAGACTTTGTGTAGGCCCCTGCCATAGGCCCTACTTCCAGAACTGTAAGGTTAAATACATTTACATGTACAAACCTTTTAGACCTGTGAGCTACAGACTTCCATAAACACATTTTGCATGTTTTTTCTGTTTTGATTGTGCCAACTTACCCTTCAATCACAGCTAGGAATAGGATGCAACCAATTACATACATGTGTACATGTACTGTACATGTCTTCTTTGTAAAGTTAGATGTCATGGATGACAGATGGGGAGGTTTATTCACCTTATATCCTCATAAAATTGATGAAATTCATGAGTATTTTGCCCATCCACACTACAGAAAGTCAGCAGCATGTACTCTCAATAACTGTCAGCCATGTGATAGCTTGACCAATCGCAACACAGCTCCTATCTTTTCTTTTGGTTTTCCTGATCCCATCCAAATGAAAGCTGAGTTGTGATTGGTCACTTGAGTGGAAGCAAATTGGGCCAGTCGTAGTGTGGGTTTCATCTGTAGGCTATCTGTTAGGTTTATAAAAATCTTACAGTTCTGGAAGTAGACTTTTTGCATGAGTTCTAAGGTAAGGTGGAGGCCAGATACGGAGCTCTTTCCAATAAGGTTAGGGCTGTGTGATAAATATGCACCCACCCTTCCCACAGATGACCCATGATAACTAAAACTTGAAAATGTTTTAGAACAGTATTCAGGAGTGTGAAGGCGTGGCAATACCAATAGTGTGTGATGCGGGCAAAACAGGAGAAGTCAGAAGAAACGTGTTCACCTCGGAGTTCGGAGGTGTTCTCTCTTGAAAAATGTGCATTCTCGAGCCAAGAAGACTACTGTCCAGCCAATTCCTAAAAGTGAATCAGTGTCGCTAAGATAAAAGCTAAAAAACGCACAAAATTTTGGTGACAAAATGCAGAAGGGTGTTCGCAAGACTCCCTATAAGTACACGTGGCCAGTGCTTAATAGTGCGTCAGTGTTACTAAAAATAAAACGCCGAACAACACATGCAATTTGTATGACAAGACGAGGAAAGGCATTCGTAGAGCTGTCTACGAGTGCACGTGGTTAAATTTTGGTGGTTTGGAACGCATGGAAGTATAAAACAGGCTGGTGCCATCCTAATCGACAGTTTGCAATATGTAAAACAGATTCGGGGAATATGATCAAAAATGGCCTCCACATGAATAGGGTCTATACATGTATCTCTAATGTGATGCAGTCTGTCCGCTTTATTGGAGGATAAACGCATCCAGATCCAGTCATCTGACCTATTTCCTTCATTTTTTATAATATCAAACTCTTCCGATCTGCTGTTTGTCATTGCAGTGTATTGTCAAGTCTTACTTACAGTGGCTACAAGACAGTGACTATGACGTTAGATGTAGCCTCTGCGAGAAGGAACTTGCTGAAGGAGATGTGGTCAGGTTAATATGCTATGGTAAGGTCTTCGGTCAAGAAAAGTAGATGGAGTTAGGGGGTCTTGTAACAGAGCTAACCCCCCCCCCCGTGTCAGTGTGAAGTGGAACAAATTCAAGGATGGTTCAGTTGAAGGGATGTTTTGCTTCAATTGTTTTTCTGTACATGTATGTCATGTATGCAGTTCCTCAAAACCCTGACGTCTGGTTGGTATACTCATGATAACAATGTGCATGCAACACACCCTGCAGCACTTTGCTCAAGACTTTTTTGTGTGAACTTTCCCAAATCCCCCCCATATCCTATGCTTTGCTGAAAACCAAGGATACATTCTTTTGTACCGGTACATCTTAAAGCCAGCAAACCATGCCATGTAAAAGTTGTAGTTGCCAGGCGCAGTCTGAAAGATAAGAAAAGGAAAAGATTTTGACGGTTGTTTCTTGATTCTGTCTGCCACAGATGTGTTCCACTGGGCATGTTTAGACGAATACGCTCGACAGCTTCCCTCCCACACGGCCCCCGCCGGCTATACCTGCCCCTCTTGTAACAATGGTATCTTTCCCCCGAGCAACATGGTATCTCCCGTCGCCGAGAACCTCCGAGAGAACCTGTCCAGGGTCAATTGGGCGAGGGCGGGCTTGGGGCTTTCACTTGTAAGTTGTAACAGATTGACCAGATTCAGGGGTTATTGAAGAAAGATCCATAAGGATAAGTGTTCACGTCCCAGTAGTGGCTGTCTGTCGAGATAATTTTTTAGTGGGAAAATGGCAACCAAGAATACAGCTTTACAAGGAAGAGTGACATTCGTCACCGTTAGCTTTTACCTAAAATTCCCAAATTGCAGTTTTACAGTGTTGTAAAATTGAGGTTGTACAATTTGGTCACCATTAAATTGGTTTTGGCCCCAGTATTGATGAAGCACAGAGACGGTGCCATCGAAGTTACTGCACAGTGATAGATTTTCAAGCAGTTGTGACTCTGTCAAGTAAAAGTGTTGTGAGAGTTAGGGCAAAAATGCTGATTACC